AGGCATCTGTATGCAGTTGTTGAACTTTGGCCCAGTAAAGGGATTCTGTGTGTGTGTGTGTGTGTGTTACAGAGGACTTGCTTAGTCCGGTCACATGGACCGCAGGCCTCTGAAACTGCCAGACTTTTGTCCACTCGGTCAGATAATATGTCCTGCTGGGAACAGCCGAGATGCCACAGCAAGCTGACAGCACACCCACAATAAGCCACTGTAATAAGGCGGCTATGGTAACTATGGTGACTGACACATGTTTCATTATTTACAGGACGGATGCAGCTTCCAGGTTTTTTGTCACTCTTGACATAAAAGTATTAGTGGTGCAGTTCTGCAAGCTACAGAAAAACAAGCAAACGGATAGTAACCACTGGTGCACACAGACTTGTATGTGGTGCTCTGTAAGTTTTTTTATGTGGGTCATATGGGCAGTCGCCCAGGGCGGCAGTGGAAAGGGAAGGTGGGGGGGGAGTGCAGAGGAAACATGTAAACACACAAATCTCTCTGGACTAAAAGCACAGCCAGAGGACAGTATGGTAGCATGAAGATCTGCAGCTTCCTGCTGGGGGGTATACATTAGTTTTGGCCACTTTTATCAGTGAGCCATGTAAGGCTGGTAACTGAGGACTTTTCTTTGCAGAAAAAAAAAAGATCTACTTGATTTTTGTTTTCTTCAGAGATTTGAAACAGCCCAATGAAAAACATTAAAGTTTTCAGTTTGTGGTTTACTAGTAAGAGAAGCATTTTGGAGCAAATCTGGGGATTACAGTAGTTCAAGCAAGAGTCGGACAAGGCAAAGCCTCTGTTTCAGTCTGACGGATAATGCATAGGTGGGGCATGGGGATTTACGCAGTGAGCAGTTTTAATCGAGCCCAGGGAGCAGGAGGAGGTCAAGCTCCAGACAGTGAGGCAGGCACCAGAGCGTGCTCAGATCCAATTTGATCCTAAAGCCTCCGCTGTGCCGCTGGGTCCCCAGATACTGTCAACACAGCTGTCCCATTCAGTGAACATTAAACTGCTACACGGTTACAGAGCTCACCTGTTAGATCTCAGAAATGATCTGCATATGCTCTTTTCATCGAGACTGCCGTCGTGTGAAGACGACATCCCTCAACGCCTCATCTGCAATCCAACACAGCAGGAGGATTTTTCAACATTCATTACAGCAATAACGACAGGTCATCCATTCTTGTGCTGCAGCACCTGTCTGAGTGTTTGCATAACAAACACAGGTGGAGCTACCTGCTTGGGAGCAGAGTTCAAGTTGTTCTAGATCTGCTTTCAAACGAATTCATACCTGGTTATTCATGTTATGTTCTTTAGATTTCCTGCCTTAGGATGAAAAATTCAACTTCTGTTTAGGTATAATGTGGAAGACAATAATATATATATATATATATATATATATATATATATATATATATATATATATATATATATATATATATATATATATAAAGTCATTTGTATCACCCTTTACTGTAAATCACCGCTGAAGACAATCCAGTTCCAGCTACTACCTTCTGTCAGCAGCTAGTTAGAAAGCAGTGACATCCCAAAGACCAATAATTCTGCCAGACAGCCACAAGGTGAACTTATAGATAGGTGTAAAGCAGGGTATAGAATAATATATATGAAGGGGATAGTTGGAATAGTGGTTAGAGCAGCACGATTGTCCTCTGAGAAGGTTTGCCAGTACCTGGTTCCCCACAGCCTCCACTCTTGGTCCCTGAGCAAGACCCTTAACCCCAGATTGCTCCCCGGGCGCCACACAATGGCAGCCCACTGCTCCCCAAGGGGATGGATTAACTGCAGAGGTAAATTTCTTCAGTGTGCGGTCAATAAAGTTGGATTCTTATTATTTTAAGAATTAATATTCCAAGCTTTTAACACATCAAAGTAATTTAATTTATTCAACAAAAACAGAGAAAAAGACAGAGCACAGCAGCAAACCTATAAAGACATGCTTGTCAATCCAACCAAAACACGCCTGGCAAAGATCAGAAATCTGCCCTTTGTGGAAGAGTTGCATGAAGGAAGCCAGAGGTGAAAAAAAAATAAATAAATAAACAAACCCAGTTTTTTTAACAAACCACATGGAGGAAGCTTCTGTAGTAGTTCTGAAACCAAAAACAAACCTTCTGTGCTCCAAAAAAGAAAAAAACTAAACAAACAAACAACTATGAGTAACTCTTTATCACGCTGAACTAAAGATCCCCACTGTAAAACATAGCAGTGGCAACATCATGCTGTGGGAATGCACATCAACATGTGACAGGAGTAAACTGGGATTAAGCTGATGACTGACTGCAAGGCCACTACTCTTCCCGCTGCTAGTGAGTTTTGAAATCGTTTCCTTTGTGCATAAAGAGTTATCCCAAACATACCGTCCTGTAATAGTTAAAGCTTGAACCCTTAATGGACGAGCTGGACAATAAAGATTTATTTGGACTCAACGTCTTGGTCCTTCTCAAGCTGTGTGCACCACAAAAGGAACAGCCAGAAAAACAAGAACAAACTTGAACCGGCGAGGTTAGGAGCAGAGCCAAAGTGTGACTGGCCGTGTGCAGACACAAGCAGAGAAAAACAGTTTAAATGACCTACATTAGCAGTGCTTAGTGTGTCGCCACAATGCGTCCCACAGTCCTTGGCAGTTGGCTTCAGTAGATGTGGAAACGGGGTGGAGGAAGAGGAGGAGGAGTGGGGGTGTGTGAGTGGGCTCCTCATAGTGCTGATTAGGTGTGTGTTTCAGGCAAACAGAGGAATACAAAGAAAGAGGAAAACTGGCAACGCTCCAGTTCAGCAGAAGTGCAGACAGCCAGGAGAACAAAGTTCAGCTGTATTCTGTGTGCAGAAGATGATAAAATGGTGGAGTCTGTCCTGGAGTGCTGAAGCAAACACACATGCCGGCTCTCCAGGGCAGACAGCCTGGGCTTGCTGCCAGCTCATTACTGTCAGTTCCAGGTGAGTGTCAGAGTTCATACAGCTCTCCTGGTGAACCAACATCTCAGGACTCACGTGTACGCAGCTCAGAGCGTCTGAGAAACCCCAAACATTTAAAAGTCAGGCTCAAGATTTTATCCTCATGACAGAGGGAAGAGAAATAAACCTCATTCTGATACACTGAGAATTATTACTTATGGCATTAAGCCATATGGTTAAAAAAATATTTTAACTTTCTAAAGTGAACTGTTTTAACTTGCTTGACATTCAAATAAATATTATACTCTGATACATAATGGCACTGCAGGCCACTAGATGGATGGCTGTAGGGAATTTCTGATTTTTTGTGTGTATTTGGTGTCCCACAGGGCAGACCTTTTAACCTCCTAAACTTCCTACAATACATCAGGCCAGGATGAATGAGGTCACTTAGAGGCAGAGCGCCAGGATGTGATTTATGGTCAGACACTAACTTCAGTCAGGTTCTGTCTTACAGCTATGCTAGGAAACTAAAGAAGGAGCTAAATTTATTCATCAAGGATCCCAAAAGTATTCCTTGGCCAGAAGAGTTGAATTCTATAAAGCACCTTCCGAGTCTCCCAGTGATCTCCAGTTTGGAAACCAGAACCACCTGAACTGCCTACTTTTGATGCGGATCCACTGGCGCTTATTTCAGCAACTTAGATCCAAGAACTTATATTTTTCTTCATGAATCATACATCAGGACTAAAGGAGAGGGTAGGGATATAAAAAAAGCAGTACATCAATCTTTCTTCGCCTCAGCAGACCAGAGCAGTATCCCAATATTTTCCTCCAATCTTTCTTATCCGTTTTTTTTTTCTTCTGATTATTTGGGTACAAAAAAAACATATATGAAAATTTTTGTACACTAATCTGTCTTTGTCTTCGGTATTTACTCTACATGCTGAAAAATTATGAGTTTGAAGTTGGCCTCAATTCTAAAGTATAATAAAGGGCCATTTCATGTTTTTTTTTTTTAGTTCTGGTGATTTAGCTTAGACTGGATCTATTGTAAAATGAACGAGCTGAAGCAGACCTAGATTATCCTACACATAACTGAGTTTTCTGCCTCAATTCTCTTTGTAAAAATAATAATAATTATAAAGGAGTTTTATTTTATATTTATATTTCGTGGTAGGGTTAAAAAGAATTAAGAGGAAATTTGGTGCTTTTATTGCAGGCTTTAAACTCTAAAACACTCTAAACAAAATACCAAAGGCTAAAATATTCGAAAGCTGATTAGATAAACCTCTATGTTTTTTTGTTTAACTCTTCAGGAGTGTATTGGAATTCTCCTGATAGAAGAGTTGACTGCTTAATAAAATCTGTTTTATGTTATTGTTTATATTTTCTTATGACATGGAAAACGTTTCATTGGAAGTCAAAGGATTTATGTTTAAAAAGCCCTTAAAACTAAATAATCTTTTATTAAAAATATTTGCAATCTGAAATCTGCAGTTTTCCCAAGAAAAATCTTTGTTGATTTAATTATGTTTTTCTATCTGCTTTATTATTCTTGTTATTGTGCCTGGTGGAAAAAAAAACAACCCAAACATTGATTATCGTCAACCCTTGTCTGTCACTTTTCTAGCTTATTGAAACCTTTAAATCAATCCTTTCACTGCTGATGTGGCCAGGATTAGACAGGCATATAACAGGTAATTTTTCAACCAATTTCAATGCTTACTAAGATCTAAACAATAAAGAATCTGCCTTATTTGGAAGTCATCTTTTCTCTGCCTTCTTCATTTTCAGGAACAGCTGAAAGATGTTTGCCTATGTACCAATTAGCATCCATATTCCAAGCAAGAAGAAAGTCTGTTATAACTAAACAGTTCTAGATGCATCTGATTAAAAAAAAATTATATACAAAAAAATATATATATTAAAAACCATGAGAAAGTGAGATTTTACCCATTAGATAAAAGTGCTAAAAATAGAAAATAAAATACATGATATGAGCTATGCTACTGCAGATTAAACAGTACAGTTACATTAAAGCTTGTTCCAAATCTTAAACGTTGTTGCAGAACGATGCTTACTTATGGTCTATGATGGTGACTCTGGAGGCTGGTATCCCCAACACAGCACAGCTGCTTAGAAGCTCTTCCCTCCGCTGAGCTCCCTGGTTGTAGTAGTTTCCTGCACAAAAATTGCAGATCAAACCAAAGCTTGGCTTTCCTAGAAAAAAATTTAAAAGCCTACATTTCTAGACGGCATTTAGGAAATATTTAATTTTAATACTTTTCCCTTGTCAATAGTTTCTGGTCTGATTAAAATGCAGTGCTGAAGAGATGTAGAATAACAGTAAAGGGGCAAAAGGAGGTAGGGAGGGAGTGCTGGCTCACTGAGTCCTGCTTTCCAAAAATGCTATATCTATTTTTCAACCCGGATGGTCCCTCAAGCTTTGCGTTTAAAGAGGGAAAAGGTCTACAGTAAAATGCTCAGAAGTTCAAATTTGTACAAAGTACCTCCTTTAATCCCAGTTTAATATATCAGATTATGATTTTAATAAAAGTGTGAATTTTGTGGAGCTGATTTCAATTTTGAAGCAATTAAATGCTTTTTTAATCACTGTACAGCTTTTTGCGTCTTTCCTATCTTTTGCAAAGAGCTTCCACTTTGGAAAGCCTCCTTATCATCCCCATAATCTTCAGAAATTAGCAATCAACTTGAGTCTACATTATAAGTCAATAGATAAGAGAGCATACAAAAAAACCCATCATGGATTTAATGAGTCCCTAACAGGCAATTACCTGCAATCTATTAAAAGCTTATGAAAGTTGCCAGAATAAACGATTTAATATAAAAAAAAAACAAAAAAAAAACAAACAGAAAAACAGATGCATGCTTTTGTTTTCTCTGTTACTGGATATGCTGCCTGTATCTTTATGTTTGTAAATAAAAGTCAGTCAGACTGCTGCTGTTTCCACCCAAATACAATGAAACAGGGGCGGAGCTAGATGGGGGGCCAGGGGTGGCCATGGCCACCCATAGCCAATCATTGGCCACCCCTACCATTTATTTCCCCCTAATACAGATGGTGGCAACAGTAATAATCTCAAGTGGAATATTCAAAATATTTAAAATTTTCATATAATAACAATTACCTGACGACAAAATGGTTAATTCTGCACATCAATATACTAACATTAACAATGATAAGTACAGAATTTAAGCAGAAATGGATTTTGTGTTTTATGTGGTAAAGAGAAAATAATGTGTCTCTGCAAGTCATTCAGTAGTCTTCAGTGAAATCATAGATAAATAACTATTTTAATAAAAAAGTATATAAGTATATATATATACATATAATATATAAGTATAATATATCCAAAGGAGGAGCAAAATTCAACCAGGGAGCATTTAGTTTGAATGCTCCTCTGCTCTTTGTCTTTTAAAAAAATATGTGTTCAAGCATTCTATTACTTTTAACCTCTGCTTATATAACTTTGATATAAATGATTTTCCCAATTGTTTAAACACAGTTCCTACATTTACCTGCAGAGCATGTTAAATAACCCATGTATATATGATGATGTGTAAATAATCTTGCATTGCTGCAGAGAATACGTATTATTTTCTTCAATCTACTATTTTTTTACTCATTAATTCCCAAAGATGAGGTCATGATCCTTTTCAGGGTTCACACATATCAAAAAGTATGGGGTCAGGAGATCCTTTAGATAAATTAGAGATAATTAGAGATATTTCTATTCAGACCAAAACTTTGAGCCGTGAGACTTTTCTAAAAATCGTTTTGTGGGTCAAAAGCAAAAAGGTTGAGGAACTTTAGTGTTATATAATCATGACTCTCACCTCTGAAGTTTATAAATATAAACAGGGAGGTTTTCTATGTCTTCATTTGAACTTCTAAAACACACATAATCTATGTTTTTTTAATTTACAATAGTTTTGAACATATGGATTTATAAAAATATTTTGAAGGATTATTATTCCTAGTATTCCTGGCGTGTTAAAACCCCTGCAATATATATATGGCTGAAAGTGATTTTTAACATTCTATTAATCGATTTGATTGTCATGTGTGATCAGTGTTCCTCCAGTGATGTCTTAGCTTTAAAAGGCTCGCTGTTTTTATCACCCATTGTGTTCTGTCACCATACCTTCAGACAAACACAGCAGGTGGACGCGGGCATTTAACTCAGCCAGTCGTATGATTGTCGGCGCGAAGAACATACATTCATCATCCGGATGTGCAGTAACAATCAGAGCTCTGACGTCAGCGCCGTCATTTTCTCTTCCTGACGAAACGTTCATCGCTTGTTCCAGTGACTTCCTAAAAGTGTGCCGGTGTCGGTCATATATTAATTTTATCCACACCAAATACCATAAACCTGCAAAGACCACTAGGTAAACATACATTATTTTGGCCGTTGCTGTAAACGATCCGTGTAAGTACACGATTCCTACTTGTAATGGTTCCGGATGTGAAAGGTAGAAAAATAGGAGATAAAAAAAGTGTGTTAACTATGCTACTACACACAGAAATGATCTGTTAGGAAAAGTAACGATATCTCATAATAATATATACATTTGCATACACAGTTATAGTCAGCTTTACGTTTTCCTTTACAACATTAGGATGATCGGGGGGGATAAATACAGCAAAACCGTTTAATCTAATATACCTTTTATTAAAAAAGATTTTAGCTAATTATTTTTTATTTAGTCTTCATTAAAAAATAAAACATTTAAAAACACAGATGCATTACCGTGTTGTAGGGGTGATTTAGGTGTAACACTCAACCGTCCTTACAGGTATATATAAAATGTTTTTTAATCTTTACGATATTAACACAATCAGATAAATCCACCATATGTTATGTTGTTGTATTTGTAGATTAACATTTTCATGTAAATAGATATATTTTAGGCATCCCATATACATTTCTACCGAAAACTATTGTTTGACGCTGTCAGGACGTCGAGCGACAAATGCGGCGCAGCCTTTAGTCTGCTCAGTCGTTCACAGCCCACAAACCCGCGGATTTACATTCAACAGCTAAAACAGATTTCTGCCCGGTGTTCCCATTCTTCCCAGTTTCTACAAACTTCAAATATGGGGTGAGTACATAAGGCGGACATGCAGACAGTCAGTGAGTGTACTTAGCACACTATTTAAGCGACTCGCTGTGCGCTGAAATCTTCCTTGCAAGATGGCGACGTTGTTGCGAATTCAAAGGTGAAATACAGGCTGGGTAAGCCAGTTAGCCAAAACAACATCCTTAACGTGCCAATGTGGGCTTTAAAGTACGTACGAAAGAGCCTCGTTTTGCTTGACCTAAATAAATTTGCTCATTTGATGAAGATGCTCCCTGTTTTTTTGGTAGCAGCCCCATCCCCCCGTTATCATGATATGCTCTAAATCCAGCTGCAGCTAACTATGTTATGGTGTCGTCTTAAATGTCCATTAGAAAGCTGCAGAATTTAGTCTTTTTTTTATTAGAAGGACTCCACCTTTCATGGAAACAGTCTGGAGGAAACAATGGTGTTATTGCATCCTTTTAGTTCGACATTATAACTAACTGGAATAGATTCATGTTTACAACCCAATGCTGCTTACTTCCTATCTCCAAATATCTCAAATCTGCTATAAACCGATGCATTGGAGCTACAATGCATGCAAATAAAACTAATTTTTACCTCACCGTGCTAATTTACAAAAAGGGATGCTTAATTGCACATGATAGAGTCCCCTGAGAAACATATTATTAATCTTTTACAGAAAAGTTTGTGATACCTTGATTCCAACGTCCTTTAAATAAGTAATGTATTTTACATCCTGCTAAACTGAATCATTTATATAAGCATTTATAGTCTAAAGGGAGGGGTTGCTTTTAATCAAGATCGACAAGGATTACAAGATGGGCTTGCAGAGATATTTAGAGAGCTTAAACTTCACTGCCTTTTTCTATCTACAAAGGCATAATTCTTTATTTGAATGTAAATATTGACTATTCTATGGTGGGAAATTCAAACTGACAATACTTGAAGTAAAACAGCTGGATTATTGAGGTATGCACATAAAAATATCAAATGAAAATCAGCAAAGCGATCCCCCTGTATGAAGCCATGGCTTCTGATGGGCTGAATGTTCAACTTTTCTTCATCCTTTTTGTGCACAGAGAGAGATTAAAGTATATCTGTTTTTTATTCGGAGAGGTTGGGTTTAACAGACATGTTGTCTTTCTATGTTGTTGGTCTCCACACTTTGACCGTGTTTTGCAGTCAGACCATTTTAAAATAGGCCGAAAAGTTTCTTTGTTGGATATGAAAAAAAAATGTCTTCTGTTTGCCTGCTGACCTGTAAGAGTCCAAAAAAAAGCTGAGCTCTCTGTCTCCTTTTTCTGGAAAACCTATTCCCTTTCTATATTGTCTGCCTGTAGCCTTATTAAAAAAGAAAAACAATGACTTATCGAAATATCATTGTGATTCAGCATTTTCACTTTACTTATAAATTCTCTGGGCAATTTTTCTTAGCTTTTTTTCGGTGCAAACGTTTAGTTTTTTTTTTTATCAGCTTGGATAGTTTTTTTTAGGTGCCTCTTTTACACTAAAAAAATGTAATTTGCAAAGGTTTTTAATCCTTTAGGTGATTTGTGAAGTATTCATGAAGATCTGTGGACCATTGAGTGGAAATTGGTCTGTGTGTCTGACCCACCCTGGTGATTTATTTTAATAATCTGTTAATCTGAGATTGGATGCTCAGGATAAAAAAGCCCAGACAAAAGAAATTATTGTAGCGGAATGCATTTTTTTGTTTTGGTTTTGCACAAACACTTGAAAGGAAAAGAAAGGAAAAACAAACAAATTTTCCTCCTACCGCTGCTAAAACCTTGCCCCACAGTGACGATAAGTTATCTACGAGGAGCTCTTCGGCCATCATCATTGCATCTGAGTCTTTGACTTCAAAGTAAACCGATAAAGACAGCTGGCTTTGTTGTGGGGACATTTCTGGAGAAGACCGTACAAAGATTGATGCTTTATACAGCAAAAAAACAAAAACAAACAAAAACACAACGACTAACCCTGAGCAGCCTGTTCACAAGAAAATAATACACCTGCCCTCTGTTACAGTCATCTTCAAACCTTTTTAAATCCATCAGCATCTACAAAAATCTCTGAATCAGGTAGGATGATGGTTACATCTTAAAGCACGGTGGGGGTAGACTGATGATACAGTTATTGTTACATAATTATTTTTCCATTTGGGGTTCATAAAACATTTTTTGATTGCAGAAAAAAGATTGGATTATTTTATATTAAGGATTAAGCTTTATTTAGTTTTTTTTTTTAACACAGTTCTGTTCTTTGTATAAAAACACACATCTACATGAGGATATTGTCTATTTGGTTAGTTAGGCCTGCTGCAATCAGCAGCTGCTGGAGCCTCTTTCCCATCAAACTGGTTCCACTGCTAAACTTGATTTACTAAACCACAGTACTTTTTCTTTCCACCCAAACTGTGGGTCCATTTCGCTGCTGTGCCAGGGGAAAGGACAGCTCTCATAAGGTGCTAGAGGGGCGCTTAACTACTAAACGTTTGAATACCATGTTTTTGTTTGTTTTTTAATAGGTCAAATTCAAACCAAAAAAAAAAAAACTGAAACAAGACTAAATAAACACTTTAAGATCACCAAGAATGACAGAAAATACAGATATTTTGCATTTTTTGGTTGTATGTTCATTTGCTGAAAGTGACTTCATACAGCTGGAGAAACATGTATTTATTGTAGGAGTTTCTCTTCCTAAATGGGACTAAAAAGCTTGGAAATGGTTAAACAACGTTTTTAAAGCTGATAATTTTAAGACTTTGCTTTAAGCGCACAGATAGGGATGTTTTCACAGCAAGAGCTGAAAAAGGAATGAAACAGCCCTACAGTACCAATCGTTAGAAACACGTCTCCCTTCTTTGAAGTTCCTCTATTGTTAATTGACAGTGGAGAGGAAGTTTTTTTGTTGTTTGAACATTAACATCATAAAAGTAATCATAGGTGTTACTATAAGTCTTCTCATTTCATGGTTCTTTTTATTAACACCCTGGTTTTATTTTTTGTTTACTCCTCCTGCTACTCAAATTGATCCCTGTTTTTTGTCTTTGCTATGCTCCTCTTGTTTCCATCAGTTTTTTGTTTTTTACTCCATCTACTCTATTCCTGTTTGACATCATCCAGGAAACTAATATCAGCTGTGCTGCTACCATCGACATCTTTATTAATAGTTGATAGTTGGGCCTGCTTTTCAGTGTTGAGTCCTGTTTCTCTCCTAGAGATTAGCTATGGAATCATTCTTTTCTATGACTAACTGTATGTGCTCTCTTTCGTAATTTTTCTGGTGTGAAAAATGTCTCACCTCGTGTGCTTAAATGTCTCGTCATCTCCTGTTTCACCAGGGACCATGTCACAGTTGGCAGCAGTATCAGTAGAGACCCCCAGTCTTCGCTCTATGCAGACACCTCCTCCAGCTATGCTGGGCGAAGCCAGAGGTGCTCCTAGGCCAGACGAGAGACGGTTGTTTCCTGGGTCGTCCCCTGGGCCTCCTCCTGGGGGCGACCCAGGGAACTTACACTGATGAATCAAGAGCTTTACTTTTTTGTTCAGCTCTTTCTTCAACTCGATAGACCGGTAGTTGGCTGCTCACCCTGTTCCTTCTTGTTAGAAAGGAGTTTTTCCTCTCCACTATCGCTGCATGGATGATCAGTGTGAGGGATTGCTGTTGAGTGGATAAAATGTCCCCACATGCACATGTGGGAGGGTTTTTTTTCCCCAGATAGCGACTTTTTACCCCTCTGACTGAATGATCATATTGAATCGTCTCTGACTGATGACTTGAGATGATGTGTTGTTAAAAAGCGCTTTATATGTGGTACTGACCGATACTGATGTTGACCCTAAACAATATCAACACAAATGGTATATACTTTGAATACTCTTTAGAGAGTATTTTAGAATGTTAGAAATGGTTTGATCATATCATATATTACTGAAACAGAGAATAATAATCAATGACGATAACATCTGTAATAACAACTTACCCTTCAATTATTAACCAATGAGTTACATAAACCTAAAACAGCAGATAGAAGCAGTGCTCCTATCGGCCTGCTTATATTAGAGAATATAGATCAATATTTTCCAATATTTGTTTTTATTTTGGCTAATTTTGGATCGATCGAGCCAGATATCAATATGGGATCAGGAAATGCCTAATATTTACCAATTCTCTCTTCAACCTATCATTTTTTGCGCCATGTTTCTCCTTTTTTGGTCAGAAATCCTTTGCGTTTAGTTTAATGTGCAAAGATCTGAATGTTGTGACTGATTTCTTGTCTCTGGTTTGTTGCCAAGCTTTAACTTACAGGGACTGATTTTACCAGCCCC